CCTCTACCTCCCTCTACCTCTACCTCTACCTCTTCCTATCTCTACCTGTACCTCTACCTATCTCTACCTCTACCTCTACCTCCCTCTACCTCTACTTCTACCTCTACCTATCTCTACCTCTACCTCCCTCTACCTCTACCTCTAACTCTACCTCTACCTACCTCTACCTCTACCTCTACCTCCCTCTACCTCTATCTCTACCTCTACCTCCCTCTACCTCTACCTCTACCTCTACCTACCTCTACCTCTACCTACCTCTACCTCCCTCTTCCTCTACCTCTACCTCTACCTCCCTCTACCTCTATCTCTACCTCTACCTCTACTTTTCAGTATAAGATTTCCTAACGGCCCCTCAAAACAACAATAATACATACAACAATGCGCTAATTAATGGTACGTGCGCCAAGAGAAACACGGAAACACAACAGGTACAGGGATGGCAATATTGGTTGTGTCGGCCCATAGAGTACATTAAGTAAGTTGTGTCGGCCCATAGAGTACATTAAGTAAGTTGTGTCGGCCCATAGAGTACATTAAGTAAGTTGTGTCGGCCCATAGGGTACATTAAGTAAGTTGTGTCGGCCCATAGATAACATTTAGTAAGTTGTGTCGGCCCATAGAGTACATTAAGTAAGTTGTGTCGGCCCATAGAATACATTAAGTAAGTTGTGTCGGCCCATAGTGTACATTAAGTAAGTTGTGTCGGCCGATAGAGTACCTTAAGTAAGTTGTGTCGGCCCATAGAATACACTAAGTAAGTTGTGTCGGCCCATAGATCACATTTAGTAAGTTGTGTCGGCCCATAGAGTACATTCAGTCAGTTGTGTCGGCCCATAGAGTACATTAAGCAAGTTGTGTCGGCCCATAGAGTACATTCAGTAAGTTGTGTCGGCCCATAGAGTACACTAAGTAAGTTGTGTCGGCCCATAGATCACATTTAGTAAGTTGTGTCGGCCCATAGAGTCCATTAAGTAAGTTGTGTCGGCCCATAGAGTACACTAAGTAAGTTGCGTTTGCTTGGGCCTACTGGTTCATGTTGTTGTCGTTATTAACATAGTTTACGAATCGTATGCGTACGTAAGTCGTAAAAGCTGACAACGCATGCATCTTCAGCGTACTTATCACAGAAATGTTACTTATAATTACGTAATAATATATATACGCGTTACATGTCATAGTCGTACTCTGCTGTATAATAATTACTAGATATACGCTGTAAGAAATCACTTTTTAGATATTCATTGGTATTAAAAATAAAAAGAATGAACGTTTATGTCTTAAGTGCTCTGAAACATATTTAGATTATTTGAACCTCGGTCGTGTCCCCCGAAACTCTGATTGCTTATAACATGTTGTGCGACTATTTATATGTGCTGTTGGGTTCGGACGAATGGCTCTCTACTGCCAGCTCTCTACTCCCAGCAGACTGTAGGCTATGGGTACAAATAACAAAAATATTCCAAGGATATATAACAAGGAAATAAAGACTTTTCTACATCAGCTTTCCATAGAACCTGAACAACAGGTACGGCTTAATATTAAGCTGTGATGAGTTATATTTTCCGATTGTGAATTTTCCCTTTCTTGACAGTAACATCCTTTCCTCCCCAGCCTATAATGATTATTTCCGTGATTGATATCGATTGCTGACGGACAAACTTGCAACGCAGGGTTTCGAGAGATGCAGGCTTCTGGAGAGTACGGGCAATTTTTATATGGTCATGATCTCATTCGGAAATATCATATGTCTTCGTGTGATATAACGGTCGATGCTATTATTATGCTCCCTAATGTGCCCTGTTTGTTGCTTTGAGGATGCGGCATTCCTGGGGTTTGACCTAAATTTATTTTGCGGGTGTCGTCTACGAAGCAGAAAACGCCTACGCTTTCGGAACTCCAGGTCTTATTCCCATTGTGCTTTTTGAATGGCCTACGTGTAAATGTTTCCTTACATGTACACACATTGCCCTGTTTTAAGCGATTGTGAGATTGAATCACGTTTTTGTTGACACTCTAGCATCATCCAGTTTTTTAGATACTGTAAACCACATACTGGAAACATGTTTTCTGATTTATGCACGATGTCCTCTGTAAACGAAACGAGAGGTGTCTGCTGCACTCTTATACCCATTTTCTGCTGTGTGTTAGTGTGTAACCTTAATGAGCCACATCTAATTTCTTGTTGGGCAACTTTCCTCAGTTGTAAAAGTATAGTAGGAGACTACATTCAGTAATTGTTGAGATATTTGGAGGAACTCACCAACGTTGTGAGAACCCGCTATATCTCTTAAGTGGGACTCAAATTGTTCGACAAAGGGACTCGCCCGAAGAATGTTTACAAAACTCACTGTACACTACTACCAGTAACTTACTTTCGTTATAACATTCTAGTACCATTCTGCCCCTCCCCCTCTGATGGAGTTAACAAGTCAAATTTAATTTCTCATTTTTTTCTCAGATCGATGCTGATCTCATCTACATACTTTTCTGGACATATGACGTATACATCACATAGTATATAAGAGGTTGTTCAGTGCTTACTCTTCTGGTTCACGGGATTCGTATTGTCTTTTTGTTTTGGCGTTGCTTCCATCTCTTTATTTTGCATCAGCTTTCACTTCTGGTTTTGCCCCTTTGTGTTGTCGGTGTATTGTCTATGTCTTTTCTCTTTACAATAGGAAACGAAGATACAATGTACTGTTTTAATTTTAATGAGAGTCCGCGTTTCAATAATCCAGACCTTACTCCCTACCTCACGAATCCAGTGATAGATGTCGTCTGATTAAGGACATTTTAACACGGTTTCCAAATATGCAGGACGACGAAGACTTTGGACCAGAAACTTCATTGAGATATATATTATTCCTTCATGTGAAATGAGGGTCGAAGTTTTTATTATTCTCACTAGTATGCCTTTTCTCTTTATTTAAATTGACATGACGGCTATATTCGATTAAGCTTCATGAGCAGCTGGTCTTATTTTACTTTTACTTTTTCATTTTCAGGGTTCTGCTTGTTAATTTTCTCATTTTCATAATTGCCCTAGTTTTAATCGAGTTTGAGCAACTTATGTAACTGATTTTACAGTTTTGTCATTTGGTAACCGCAAGGTATTATACTGGTGTTACAATGTTTTCGTTTGGTATATTACTGATGTTACATTTTTGTCGTTTGATTTATAACTGATGTTTCATTTTTATCGCTTGGTATAATACTGATGTTACATTGTTGTCATGTGATAAACAGTTTGTTTTAAACTTGTTACATCGTTTTCGTTCGGTATAATATTGATATTTTATTTTTGTCGTTCGGTATATATTTGATGTAACATTTCTGTCGTTTGATATATATTTGGTGTAACATTTCTGTCGTTTGATATATATTTCATGTAACATTTCTGTCGTTTGATATATATTTGAGGTAACATTTCTGTCGTTTGATATATATTTGGAGTAACATTTCTGTCGTTTGATATATATTTGGAGTAACATTTCTGTCGTTTGATATATATTTGAGGTAACATTTCTGTCGTTTGATATATATTTGGTGTATCATTTCTGTCGTTTGATATATATTTGATGTAACATTTCTGTCGTTTGGTATATAACTGATGTTACATTTCTGTCGTTTGGAATAATACTGATGTGACATTTTTGTCGTTTGGTATGTATTAATACTGATGTTACATTTCTGTCGTTTGGTATATATTAATACTGATGTTACATTTCTGTCGTTTGGTATATAACTGATGTTACATTTTTATGGTTTGGCATATAACTGATGTTACATTTTTGTCGCTTGGTATATATTAATACTGATGTACATTTCTGTCGTTTGGTATATAACTGATGTTACATTATTGTCGTTTGGTATATAACTGATGTTACATTTCTGTCGCTTGGTATATAACTGATGTTACATTATTGTCGTTTGGTATATAACTGATGTTACATTTCTGTCGCTTGGTATATAACTGATGTTACATTTTTGTCGTTTGGTATATAACCGATGTTACATTATTGTCGTTTGGTATATATTAATACTGATATTACATTTCTATCGCTTGGTATATAACTGATGTTACATTTCTGTCGATTGTTACAAACGCATGTTACATTTTTGTCATTGGGTATAATGATGTTACAGTTACGCCTTTTACTTTTGTTATGTAATTGAAGTTTCTATTTTTTGTTTCGTAAGATGTTGTTCGTCTAAAATGCCGATGGTGTTTTTTGTCGTATTGTCAACACCTGCTCAAAATATTTTAACTCTCAACAGACTAAGTAATCCTTTTGATGTTTGCCTCACTCCGTCCAGTGCCGACAGGGGTCATTCTCTTGTGTTTTTTTTTATCTGACTATATACGACATGTCATCTCGTGGTCAAATGTAAAGCGACTGACCAGTGATTGGCCGGAGGTGTATGAGTGCGCCTGAGGTCCATACGTTTTATCGCTGATCTGCGCGAGTAGTCGCGAGGCCACCGGAGGCCACAGCCATCATTGCCTACCCTACCTGTACAACACACTAAAAACTAATCATTTAAGTGGATATATCTCGGCAATCACGGAGGTATGATAAGAGGCGGAAAGTCGCTTCCAAGCAGCTACGCCTATCTCTCTAAGTCCTGGTTGGTGTCATGATCAGTTGCATGTTTTTACACTAGCTTGACACCTGTGTTCAGCGAAGCGTATCGCCACGATCAGGTAACCAGAGGGCTTTCCTATATCTCCTAGATCCTCTAAGTGGACTGTTAAAGCTGATGTTCTGTTTAGTAACTCTGTGATTGTGTGTGGAAATACCGGAATTCTTTATTTTGGATTTTATTACGACTGTATGGATGTTACAGAGCCCAATATCTGTTATTACCTGTAATTAGTGGGAATAACATACCGGTAACAGCGCGTGTCGTATGGTCCTGTATGTACACAACAGGGCACATGGCACACATTTACAGAATACTGCTGCCTCTTTGTGTGGGTATCCTGTTCCTGGGATTCGTGTGCTGCCAGTCTGCCAAACCATCTACCAAAGGTAGGCTAACATCTCACTTCACAGCATCTGGTAAAACGTTTCCAAAATTCGTTACATTCTAAAGTTATTTTATTATACAAACCACTGTATGTCTTTTATATTTTACTTATGTTAATTTCCTGCAGTTTTGATGTTATTGTTGTTAAATACTTGCTCCATGACATTCTGCTGTTATTGTTCCCCTTTTGGGCCATTTTCGCCGGTGTAATAGCGATAGGTTTACCTCCTGTCTTGGTATCGTCTGTGCCATGTTTAAGAAGGGGATAGGTAGCGCTGAATTGATCACAATCACACAGAACCCATAAACCATACATAGTTATGCTGTGCTCAATGCTTACGCAATCGTGTTTTACGAGCATTTTGACCTTTCATAGGTTTTGGAGTTGACAAGTTGACAATTCCTTCGTTTGATAAATAATAATGGACAAACACATGCATATGGATTATACGAAGTCGGAACATGTGCACTGTCAACAGGAAGCTATGTAAATACAGTGTTATCTTGGTGTGCGTCTGAGTCAGACGACTGTGATTTATGTCTTGTACACTGTTGGCCAACCTTCGCGAACAAGTTCACGTTGTAACGGTCATTTGTTGTGTAGAGCTAAGCTTCCCCAAGGCAACTGATAAAGTACGGTCTACATCATCAGCATGACCAGACAAAATGGATCAGTCAAAGATGACCTTTAACATCTTCATTGAAGCGAATACTGCTGTCCATTTAATAGTTAACAAGGTGATGGCTACCTAACCTGACCGTCAACCCTTACGTAAGGCTTTATAAACGCTATCCACACGACTAAACCTATATATAATAGTTAATTTATGAAAGGGATGAACGGGCACCAGCTCCGGTGAGTGTGAGTGACGACACCTGGTTCACACTTTCCCTAGAGATGTCATCACGTTACGGTAGTTCACGTCTAGAAATGGTCCATTGAACCGATCGTAACACCCTCGGAATGGTACCTTGTAGTGGCTGATGTAACTCACGGAACAGGTATAAGGACGAAGCGTTCAACTCGTTATGTGCAACCTCACAATAATGCATATTATATGTTGTAGTGAATGAAGTGTACCTAATTTGAATTGCAAATTAAACAAATATGCCATGTTTATAACGCTGCTAATTAATGTATTACAAGGACACTCGTTGTCCATTTCTGGTCTAGTTTAGGGAATCCCAGACAGTTGTAGGGAGGACTTGTAAATGTGAGATATACCAGACAGGTAGTACCAGGTTTGAGATCTGTTGATAAAATACGTTTAACTGATAGCTGCAGGATAGCGAAGCGATCGCCCTAAGGGACAGTCATCGTACGTATTCCACAATCGGCAGCGCCGATGGGGGCCATCAGACACGTGTGGATGGCCAGGAACACTCCTGTATACCGTGATAATGGCGACAGAACATATTGGTAACAAGGGTCTCAGAAACTATAGCAATGGTATCACATTTTACCAGTAACATGTGTCTGAGAGACCATGCCAATGGTGGCAAACATACCGGTAACAAGGGTCTTAGGAACCATGGCAATGGTATAACATTTTACCGGTAACATGTGTCTGAGAGACCATGACAATGGTGGCAAACATACCGGTAACAAGGGTCTTAGAAACCATGGCAATGGTATCACATTTTACCGGTAACATGTGTCTGAGAGACAATGACAATGGTATCACAACATACCGGTAACAAGGGTCTGAGAGACAATGACAATGGTATCACAACATACCGGTAACAAGGGTCTGAGAGACAATGACAATGGTATCACAACATACCGGTAACAAGGGTCTGAGAGACAATGACAATGGTATCACAACATACCGGTAACAAGGGTCTGAGAGACAATGACAATGGTATCACAACATACCGGTAACAAGGGTCTGAGAGACAATGACAATGGTATCACAACATACCGGTAACAAGGGTCTGAGAGACAATGACAATGGTATCACAACATACCGGTAACAAGGGTCTGAGAGACAATGACAATGGTATCACAACATACCGGTAACAAGTGTCTGAGAGACAATGACAATGGTATCACAACATACCGGTAACAAGGGTCTGAGAGACAATGACAATGGTATCACAACATACCGGTAACAAGGGTCTGAGAGACAATGACAATGGGATCACAACATACCGGTAACAAGGGTCTGAGAGACAATGACAATGGTATCACAACATACCGGTAACAAGGGTCTGATAGACAATGACAATGGGACCACAACATACCGGTAACAAGGGTCTGAGAGACAATGACAATGGTATCACAACATACCGGTAACAAGGGTCTGAGAGACAATGACAATGATATCACAACATACCGGTAACAAGTGTCTGAGAGACAATGACAATGGGATCACAACATACCGGTAACAAGGGTCTGAGAGACAATGACAATGGGATCACAACATACCGGTAACAAGGGTCTGAGAGACAATGACAACGTAAAAAACGTACAATAACAAAGATATGATTGGCCACGACAAAGGTTATAACATACCGGACAGATAGATGTGTCTTGACGTTGCACACTTATGGTATCGCTACATTTTGTCAGTTCTTTCGTCTCTCGTCATTACACCTACTTGTCAATAAAAGCTACTGTCTAGCACGCGCTTCATGTTTTTTCTGACGTTGAACTACCTGCTTTGTACATATGCTAAGTTTGCGTAGTTTACATATTTAAGTAAATGAAATTAGTATAAATGATTTATAGACACTTTGTTTGTCGCATTTTATTTACTAAATATCTTTCATTGGTGTGTAGTCACTCTGAATATCAGCAATAATGACCAATATCGATTCGGACCCATTGTTCTGTACCGGAAGGTGTCTAACACAGAATACCTCATGTTCACACGATACATGTAGATTAAAGACAATTGAACCATGTCTTCGTCTACAATTGGACGCCGACACACCATGTGACGGCCAAGACCTGAACTCATTACAAAGGGAATTTTGGTACAACAAGCCTCACACTAATTAGGGTTCTGAGGACACATATAGTATAGTGCACGGAATTAGGTTATACTTAGTCTGTGGTATGTATCAATTACTCGACTATGGTGTGCTAACATTGGTCGAAAATAGTCGAGGAAATTCGAATATTACAGAGCATTCCTAAAACCGTTCTCATTCTCACACTCCGAAGCTTTATATAACTTCAAATTCTAATTCAATTCAGAAAGTTTCGTTTTGATATCTCATATTTGTTTCATAACTTTAAAGATATCTAAACTAACAAGAAAAGAAAACAAATAGAGCAGAATGATTGAGCTTGAGTTTGCGAATGCTTTGAGGACTACTGAGCCAGATGTTACGTACATTTATAATTATATTCATATATCCCAACTTGTACATTACTACCGATGTGTCACGTGACATTCATGTTGCTCATGTCATATGTATGATACCGACCTGTACTGGTACGTCGCCACAGACAGGTCATGTGACATTCATTTCGGTGCCCGGTGACTGTACCGGGTAAATTACTACAGGGGGCCATGTGTTGAGCGTGTTCTGATGCCATACACCGGAGGGTAGCCATGTGGTTAGTTCAGCGAGAACGATAGGTGTGAAAGACTTCAGGTTACGAATAAATAATATTAGCAGAAATATATCTTATCAGAAGTGTGGATGTCTGGGGGGCAAGAACAGTGACAACGTCAAATAAATTCAGTTCTATAAGTAACATGAGGGTGGTTACTACAACATGTGTATTTATTGCAACATCTTGTCGACGAAACACCAAATTAAAAATAAATTCAAGTAGTTGAAGAAAGGTACAATTAATTGAATGCATTTGAAACTATCTTTAATTGGACATTTCATTCGAGAATATATTGTACTAGTATTTAAACCTAAGTGACTAATGATCAATTCATTTGAAAAACAAGTTCAATTCCATTGCATCTTTCTTTAAATAATTAAAGATGAGCGCGAATATTTGAATTGAATTGAAAACATCTTCCATTGAATAGAGGATAAATTTTATTAATTGTTCCGATCTTCTATTATTTGAATTTTGGTACTAGGTATGACCAAAGAAGCGAAAGAAGAATGCTATTAATGTAACGCTATTATACGTACTAGCTCATTTCATATTCTCTCCATGTCATCATTAATAACAGCTGTGGCATTCCTTCATCACAAACGGACATCAAACTAATGACGAAAACCGCAAACCGGACTCTTACACAGCTATCCGGGTTTTACCGATTTGTTAACTAGAATACACCATGGTGTACTAGACACATTGTTATTATGTCAAGAGAAATGGGCTAGGCGTCCGCAAATGTTTCTAACAGTTTACCTGTATCGTTTTAGTAAGGTTATCTGCATAAATCCGCACAATGCAGAGTTCCAGATAGCAAACATGCATACGATGTTTTTATCTTGTAGGATTTTCAGTTAATGATATTCCATTAAGCTTTGTTCTCTACGTGGTGTCCGTTTGTTGTATAAGATTAACACAAGGCACATTGCAGTTGTTCCGTTGTTATCACTTTAATATGAAGACGTTTCTAAATACATGTTTGATCCTGGCTATATAAATAACAATTTACAACACAACAATACATCTTTATATTATCAAGGTAACGCATGTCACCCTCACAGAGTACCAGCAATACTTATAATGTTGTAAATATCATACATGTATCTGTTAGAATATTCACAAGTTGTATGCTGATATCCAGCTTGGCTTGATTTATGAGACAGTCAATTATATACTTACACGTACAAATGAGACATTTAACGATACAAGTGCACGTACAATTGAATGCATGTAAAGGTAAAAATCTGAGGGAAATTTCCAAAGACACACATAAAGACATGGAATTAGGGTGCAAATGTAGCTTGAAATTGCTTAAATAGTGACATTGTTATTAAAAAGCTTCATTTCATTATGACATCTAGATCCAAGAAATTTGTTTAGCATACCTAACATACTCTAAAGAACTCTTCTGGTATTGTAGTAGAATTT